TTACGAGCGTTTAACTTAAAGAGATTTTTGTTTTATACGCCGGCGTTCTCGCTTCGGGGCAGGACAAGGCATCGCTCGCTGGAGATATTTTTAATGAGTAATTGTACCTTTTGGTAGTCAATTTAAAATTTTATATCTTTACAAAACTAATAGCTGATATTGTACAAAAAGAAATGACTTTAGGAATCATAAAAGAAGTGCTAACTTTGAGTATTATCTTGATAACGCAGTGTACACTGTCTGCATCGACTGCACCAACTTTACTGACCTGTATAACAACGACTCTTCGGCAAAGAATAGCTTCAATTTGAGGAAAAGAAATTGCCCTTCGCCCTACTTTTACACCTAAAACATTCGCAAAAAAATCTTTTGTAACTAAAGTACTACAGAGAATAAATAAATCGACATTTCGCTAACATTGTATATACAGTACGTATTCGATAGTCTATTTGGAATTGTCGTAGAATGTTCCAGAAGAATAAAAAGGCATAATACTTAATAACGTACATTTAGGTTAAAAATAAGGTTACCTATATAACGTGGTCGAGAAACAAAACAAAAGAATTGTCATGATAATGGCAGGTCTTTAATTGTATGCGCACTTCAGCCGCGTGGTGACCCGCATCCCGCTTTTAACAATAATAACCAGATCAAATCCTTACTTATCTGTATAATAACTGTATACTAACTTAACACTGGATTTTCTACTGCCCAGACATTTGTAGAAAAACGTCATCTTGCTTACTCATTGAAAAAAAACAGAGACAGCAACACTTTCTTATACACTTTCGCTTCGCACTTTCTTATACAGCAAAAATATTGTTGTTCGCGTTTTATTTCAATGAAACAAAGTCATTACTTATTATTCCAATATCAAAGCAATATATTCAAAGAGAGATAAAAATAATAGTAAATTCAATTGAAAACTCTATAAGCAATTTTACGTTTTATTAGTACAAATAAAAAGGACAAAAAAGTCTATCAATATGGGAGCAAGGGGTAGGGAAAAGGGACTGTTGAAGCGTTTATACCCATATTCAAAAAGATTGATACTAGATTTTCTACATAAGATCTTCTGATAGTTATTGATAGTCTTACTAATATTATAAATGCGAAGGTTTAGATGGATGGATGTTTATTAGTTTGTAGCCTAAACGGCTGAACGGATCTCGATGAAGTTTGGTATAGATATAGAGCATAGTTTGGAAGAACACAGACGGAATTCTTTTGTTTTTTTTTTATATTCACGGACAGAATCGCGGGCGAAAGGTAGTATTCTAATAAAATTAGGTATGTGACAGACGCTTTCCGTCGTATACCCAAATTAATGGTACTAAATATCTGTTTATTGTGAATTGTTAAAATGATTCTACATGAAATAATCGTAGCAGAGCTCGTAGCATCGTAGCTCTACAAGTCTATCTCAAATACTAGATACAAAACTCGTAGTTGTAAATCTATTCTATAAACAAATTTTATTGCTGTCCAATCAGTTTCTAAGAATTCTTCTTATATTGAAATCGGTACATAATTTGTATTGAATCAACTTAACATACGACTTTAAATATAATTTTTATTCCCAATTGTATTATGTTAATTTAATTTACATTTAAAATAGAGGACACTTCATTAAAAGCACCGCATTTCCATTAAACGGGATATAACGCGATGACGTCATAATTCCGGTCGCAGACACATGCACACGTGTGCGATAACTGAGCGCTTCATTTGAGCGTAAGGGCGTGTACACACTGGAGGAAGTGTAGATCAAAAGTTGAAGGGGATAAGAATATTAGACGAAATTCATTCACCAAGACAAAAATAGGCTCATTTTAATTAAATCGACATTAATTTGAAAACAGAATCGTAACTTAATATATCGAGATTTTAGCATTGTATTTGACAGGTTGTTCTCTAAAATTTAAAAAGTAACAAAAAACATATTCTATGTTATATATCCCTACTAAACGGAAAAAAATCAAGTTAAATTATTACAAAATAGAGCCTACATTACTAACTGAAAACGTAGCTTTTAAATGGTGAAAGAATTTTTAATATCGACCCAGCAGTTTTCGCGTGAATCAAATACATACAAAAATTAAAAAATACAATTTTTTTTTTTTAAATAAAGGTATAGACATAGATGACGCTTGTCAGTAATATAGAAGTAGCAAGATCAACGAAACAAAGAAACTGTTCGTAACTTCAACTTATTAAGTTAACAAATATACTGGAGTGCCAAGATAAACAGCCACCGTAGCCACGAAACAAAATGAAATGTAAATAAATAATTAATTTTGTTAACAAGAAAATAATTCTATTACTGTACTGCGAAATGTTTTTGTTTATGTTCTAGTAAAGAAAATAAACCTAATATTTATACAAGAAAATAACGAAACAAACACAATTTATACTTCAAAATTCCACTGTATTTAAACGGCAGAATACTAAAACGATATCTCAATATGTAACAGCGTTTAAAATTATAAGGTCACGCTAATACTTAAAATACATACATAAGTACATAGCAAAGTGATTTAATTTTCGTTTCAGTATTCAGTAAACGTACGTTGTATTGTAAGTAAATGTTCGTACGCTTTGTTAAGATAAGGTTGATTGATTAAATGCTCTGACATTGATTAAGCCTCGTTAAGAGCACCCCTTTTCAACCGAACATCACAATTGTTAGCGTTTCTTAGGTCACTGACATAAACGACAAATGTTTTTTCCGGCAATCGACAAAATGTAGTCAAGGAATTTAATTTGCATACTACTTAGGATGTAATACAACAGTCACTATATGAGCTATAATTTACCACATAATGTGCCAGCTGATATTCTAGGATAGTCTAGATCTATAGGCAGGTATTATTATTATGGTTTAATTCTAAGTAGATTTGATATCTATCTTACAATTTCCAACTGACCCCTTCCTCCTTTAATATAATTAGTTTTTCAAATTAGTTTGCAAATAAATGTAGCTACTGTACAATATTTCTTACCAGCGTCAAGGGGATATGCAATTTACTACTGTTATCTCCTTTGGTTATTTGCAGTATTGCTATGTCCAGTACTTTATGTCGACTTGGATTAACTGCAGGGAGTCGTGCCAAGTGACCACAACACCGCTTTGGACATCAGTGATTTGAGCTTCGCTAATGAACGACTTCGGCATAAATGATGCTTTTTATCTCGTACTCTTTACGCACACATACCATCTTTCCGGCACAGGGTTTAAAAACAAATAGTTTTATTATTTTACTACTGTTACTAATTCCAATCCAATTTTACTGGCATATAGCTTCAGTAAAAGGCTGCGGTATGTTGCATTTTTGTCGCATTGTAACACTAAAATGGCGGCTTGTCAATGGTTGCTAGTCGTAAATAAACTGTGCTACATATATTTTCGATAAAAAATCCTTATGTTAAAAAAACAATGGATTCAAATGTGCCCTGTATTAAACTGCATCATTTATTTATGTAACGTGACTTTTGTTTGTCGTTTTATTATCAATTGCTTGAAATAACAAAAAAACACATTGTGCCCTGTTTTCCTTCCTCCTTCACTTCTTAATTTTTTTTTCTTTACTTGTAATGTAAACTCCTTGATAAAGTAATGTAGTATTTTCTCTTATCGTAAATGGTAAATTCTCTTTCTTTAACAACTAATGAGGCATGTTCTCAGGGATTCAAACAACTCGACCTACTTAATGCTTTTATTCTGAATTTGTACGTCTCCGAGGAATAGAAACGATATAGCGTATAAGTAAATAATGAACTGTTTTGTAACGAAATATATACAAAGCTAATAATGTTTTATTTGAGAATATTTCTGATTCTGATTTTTACTGTGGTAGAGCCCGCTTTAACATATTCGCACGAATGGACCGGCTCGCCCGGTGAAATACCACGACCACACAGAAAACAGGCTTGAAGTGGAAGCAATTCCGCGTTTCGTCTGATGAGTGTGGTGCCGGAAGCCTAATTTTGGTCCCTTTTCCTTTCCACCTTTTTCTTGAGAGCAAAGGATAGGAAGGAAAAGTGGATTTGACGGTGGGGGAGATGCATAGGAAGGGGAAATGTCCTCTTTATGTGCGTCTCCTCCTCCTTCAAGGGTAGGCAACGCATCTGCAATTGCGGATGTTTATGGGCAGCGGTCGCTTTCCATTTCGGTGGATTTGGGTGGCCGCTTGCTTGTTTGCCACCTTATATTATAAAAATATATATATATAAATGCATTAACGGAGTGTGGCTAAGAAATGAACTTCAATGTTATATAACACAGCGTAGCGTAGCCCTCATGCTACATCAGCGAGAGATAAGATATCCATCTCATTAGGGAGGCACGAATTAGTAGATAAAATGACAACGTAAAACGCGGACAGACAGTTATGCAAATATGTCCTAAAAATAATCGCTTTTTATACAAGAACAGTAAAGGACAAGGGCAACTTTTAAATATCTCTTCTTTAATATAAAAATATATTCAGGGCTAGCTTTACATGCAGACAATGAATATGTATCAATTCTTTAGTCATCAATATTTGTACTTTCAAACAAAATTCATCTTTCTATTTGATTAATTAGATTTTTATCCGAAATAGCCAGATTCTAAGGGTCCATACATAAACAATATAAAAGCTTGGATTAAAAAAGTGAAATTTAAGGAAAAAGCAATAGTAAAATAAAGATTACGCAAACTAAAGTCAGAGCTATCATTTAGTTTCTGTCAGTGTGAGGGAAGCGATAACAAAACAAAACTCACATGGCTCAGTGATTTATTTCTCAATATTGTTAAGGAATATAATACTAAAGAAGAGCATTATTAGTATATTTTTACCTTGGAGCCCTTACGCGATAATCAAGACGATTTAGCCCGTAATCCAATTCATATATCAACGCTTCCGATTGCTTTGCAAAAAGAATTACACCTCTTTACAGTTTAATTAACTTGTCTACCAAACAATCTGCAATTAATTATATATGGTCTTTGTGTACAGTGTAAGTGTGCCGGGATACGCAGGCAGCCTCGCAGCGTCTCTACCAGGCGGTGGAGCTGCGGCGTGGGAGCGGCTAGGTGCTGAACTGTTACTATCAGGGCTGGTGGCCGCTGCGCACTTCGCTGGGATGGAGCGTCGCTGGACCGGCGCTACGCCAGCACTCCTCGGAGCCGCATACTGTGCTGCTAGCTTTGTATCCGTAAGTCTATTTTGTAATAACGTCAATCTTGGACGAACGAGCACGATTATACAGAAGCTGCTATTAAGTTTTAAAAGTAGCGGCTGTCTTTGTTGAGGTGCCAATAAATGGTGTGTTTACCCGACTTCAGCATGGTTACAGCCAGATTATTTACACAAGTATAAACAAATATTATACAAATTTATGTTTTCTATGTTTAAAATAAAATTACTGTTCATAAATCTCGTAAGTCACTTCAGAAATTATAATATCAAACTCGGAGAGTTCTCTGAATATTCTTAGAATGAATTATATCACAAGGTTTAATAAAGCTCTGTTTAATAAAAGTAAAAGGAATAATTAACATGAAAAATGTTTGGAATTAACTATTTTAAAATTAATATTAAATTACATGATAAATTGCCAGTAAGTTCTTTCTTCAAATTTCTTGTTCAGTTGTAAGTGGCGTGGAAACATTAATTACATTTGAGATTGTAACTCGGAGAATTTTGTTATCTTGCTCTCAAACATTACTTAAATAAGAAATCTACAATAATTTTACAAAACAGTTAATAATTATATTTAACGGTCAAGTAAGAAGTTAATTTAATTAAAACTCAGAATTATTCATTAGACGTGATCGAATCAGTAACATTTATTGGGTCTAACAGCTTTATGTGGATACGCCCTCTATAAATCGTACCCGGACTGGCTTGTTTTACGAGTTTCTGTTGAGTCTAATCGGTCCTGGCATACTGCCTACAATAACCTTTACAATACCCAGACATATACCGTCTGAGCTTAGGATACCTAAAGGAATAAACTCTGATTATATTCTGTGAATTCTATGATGTAAGATCTAACATATTTTTATAAAACTGCGAACATGAACTAAAACTTTCTAGAATAATCAAGTAGGCAGTCCACAACATGCGTTACATATAGGACTATTTTATAGGCCGTAAAATATCGGCCATTGCTTGAATCATAAGTAGAACACTGTATGGCGATCCGATTCATCGAGGATTATACTGAAGCTAGGGTTGCCACTCGTCAGAAAATGACGACATTTTCCTGGATACATAAATATGGTTCTGGGTATTTTTGATCCCCCACCACTTGACCCCTAAACCAAAAAAGGCCATCGTCTTTGACACGAACTCTTCTGGCGTACATATATACTGGCTACAGTTCGACAACGATGTGAAAAATTACATTGTCTTTATGTGGCGTAAGAATCAAAAGTGGATATGTTTTTTAAATCAGTGTAACAAGTGTGTTTACTGGTTGTGGATCTATTTATAATTAGACAACCCTAAATGATACTCTGACTACCTGCGTTTTGTAGCGGCTCCGGCGGCAGATGCTCGATTTGAGTTTTTTTTTCCGCTCCATCTGTCCATCTGTCGGAGTGAATGCGGTGTAAAAAATAATCGCGCGACTGTACAAAGATTCCTTCTTACATAACGTTTTACAATGTTTTGGTTAAATTCTGTATATTGATTTATTATGCCTTCAGGTGTGCGGGTGGATTTTAATATTGGATGTCAATCATATCAAAATCTAGTGTGCTTTACGTAACAAGAATTTTTAATTAAATATGTCATAACCTTACGAACAGTTCACAATGCTCTCAAATCATCAAAACTATCGAAATCGTGAATAACAGAAACAATAAATAATTTATACTTTCCAAGAAAATTGTGACAATTAAACCCTAAAGTCACATTTCAAAATTAATTACACCTATACCTACCTACAATAGTTTACGCCCGCGGCGTTGTCTCCGTCACAGAACGTTTCAACCACAACAATAACTCTTTGTCCGCCTTTTAATTACCAGACATTACTCGACTTCAATGGAGAAGGATTTAAGCCATCTCATGGCCTGCGGCATGGCTTGAGAGCTATTCTGCGTCAAGACCCTAGCATTTCAACTTGTTACCAGAATTCAAGACGAAAGCATCCAGCATAAATGCTATTAATACTTTTGTACTTCGACCTTTGAAGTATTTCAGCATTTTATACCTAAACACTGAATAGATCATAAGCTTTGGAAATAATTATAGCTTGGCTTCCATAGTAAAAAAATGACGACTGCATAGACAGATTTTGTGTAAAACAAAGCTGTTATAGTTTTAGAAGTAAAAAAAAATATTTAGTTAATCTCTAGTATACAAAGTTGTGTTATTTTAACTGCGATTCGTTACGTTCACTAACTATTCATTTACCTGTGAACTGCGAAACCCTCGTTTTCAATAAATCAAATGTGGCAACATAGCAGACGGACAAAACATTTATTGTGTAAGATTGTAGGGCACACGCAGCGCCCGCAGGTAGCCTGCATTTGTTACGTCTTCGTACCGAGTAATTGCACGGAGCCCTTTCAATGGAGACATTTTTTTTGAATCGCTCGCTCGTTTCCGTTTCTATATAAAAGGTAAAAATTGCTCGAAGCATGTTCCGTTAATTGTAGTCCTTGTGCTCATATGTATAAAGACGTGATTGGTTTGAGAGTGGGGATAGCAGGCTTTGTGCAGGTATAGTCTGATAGCAGCATTGTTCGATCAGACAGCTTTTGAATAGTTTACTTTGGAACAATCGGCGTCAGCGCTGTTCAATGCGCAGGTAAGATCGCCTGTCGATTGTCACATCGAACACGGAAATAAACTACGACATACTATAATGTACATATAATATTTAAAAATGACTAGTCATTAGAATTTAAAGACGATTTTTTTGATTTCAGATGCCATCATTAAACCCGGCACGTTCGCTTGGCCCGTCCTTCGTCTTATCTCGATGGGAGAGCCACTGGGTATGCTGGGTGGGCGGATTAGGCGGCGGGGTAGCATGTGCGTTACTTCACGAGTGGGGCACGCGACGGCCACGCGCCAACACCAACTCGCGGGCCTCCTCACCGAGGGACATGGACGAGTTGGATAAACCAGCATTCCCGACGCACCACTACCGACACGCGCCCTCCTACTGCTCGGCGACAGCACCGCGACCAGATAACACGGAGCCCCTGTACTCGGGCAGCAAGTCTCTGTACTGCCGCTCGCCGCCGCCCGCGCGCCACGCGCTGCACAGGTCAGCCGACGGATCGACATGTCTCACGTAACTATTGGTGTTGTGGCTCTTGTAGTTCGCGTAGTCAATAGACATTTAGTGTAGCTTCTAGTCTTTACAACTATTGCTTCTGGAGAACATGTTTTATAAATTTTCCTTATTACATTACGATCAAAGAATTGATTCTTTAATGGGTCTTTAAGAAACTGTCCATGGTCTTGTACCTGGTAAAACTAGATAGTTAGAGCTCAACAATAAATGGATATCGATTGCCTTTACGAAATCTTTGTGTAAGATTGGAATAAAAAGAGGTTGAGATCGATTAAACACAAAAAAGGAATGTTGCTATAAATACGGTCACAGTTGAATTGTGACATTTTATATAAATGTAGGTGAACAGTCTTTGACCGCGGGTTACTTAATACATTCGTAATCCTCTGAAATAAGCTTCCTCAGAACAAAACCGCAGCTGCGAATCTCAAACATCAACTGAATAAGCAAAAGAGTTTTCGCAAATTTAATAAGGTTCGCTTATCTTATTAGGATACGAATTTGAAACTAAATGGACAACGCGTAGATTTGAAAATACAATGAAACCAGTACATTCACAGTCTCTTAAGTAATTATTAAAAACATAATTTTAACCTATAACATAAATATACTGAATATGGTACAAGAAACGTATAAAATAATTTGTACACAGGAAACTGTAATTAACATTACTCACGAATGGAAAATATTTAAAACAATGCAAACAATATACGAGCCAGTTCGAGCTACGGACCGATTGTGTTCAATTTGTTATTTAAATTGCAAGTAATTAAAGTTAAAATGTACCGTTTAAAAATTTTACCACATAAGTTATATTTGGATATTATATTAAACTTTTCGTCCACTTTTGCGAACTAAGAGTACCTTATTAATACATGTAATACAGTATTGTTTCCAATCCAGCCAATTCTTGAAGTTATGGTCCAAAAATACCGTCTAAAACTCTTATTAAATCAAACAAGAATTCTCGTAGTAAATTAAGACGTTGTCAACAGGAGTTAAGTAAACGAGGTTCAAATAGCAACGCGACTTAGCGCATACGAGTAAGATTGAGGGTTGAGGAGTCGGGAGGAAGGAGTAAGAAATGAGCAAGAGGGTCCAATTAGGGCGGCACACGCGTGCCTTACACGAGCCGGCATTGATTAAACGACGCCAGAGAAAAACTTACGGCTTAATTAAACCATACTTTATTCGGCTCCTCGAGTGTACTGAATGCCATTTTATATAGTCATATACTAGCACATCACTACTATTTCACAAAGTTAGCTTTGTTATTTGATTACTAAAGTATATCAATGTACATTTTTAAATACAAAATTCATAAACATACAATTCTAAATTGACATTTGCATCAAAATAAAAAACTTGATAAAATCACAAATGTGGTAGACATGAGGCGATTTTTTAGGGCCAGGCATAGTATTAGTGATTTTCAACGTCCGTTCTTCAAAAGTAATGTAAGTTGTTTTCTTGTTGTTGTTGTTAGGTCGCAGTCGGTGTACAGCAAGGGCAGCAGCACAGCCGGAGCCGCTGCTGGAGCGCTGGGCGCGGCGCAGTCGCTGCTGCTGCGACCAGCCGCGCACGCCCTCGCGCTCAACCAGAACGCACACAATGCACAACGAGATCCCGCCTATGGGACCGCACCTAATGGTATCCGCCCCGGACCAGCAGGTAAGTTACTACACCGTGTCTTCTATACTCTTCAACATCACTAGCTCATTATACGTGAGTCTAGCTTTTCCTGTCCCAATAGGTTCCCTGTAAGAAATTGCTTATAGCAATAAGGCTGCCCTTGCGCAATTCTTGTTGCAGCTTAGTTGAAGTATACATATGTATAGTAATTCTGCGCAAACAGAATTAAATATTTGAACGGGCAATACGTCCCCAATGAGGGGATCGGGGCCTGCACTAATAAGGGGCGACTAGGCATAGTCAACCACGCTGGCTAGTAGGCCGCAGTAGCGGGTTAGTTGACTTCACACATATCTTTGAATTTTATTCGCCGATATGTGCAGATTGCATCACGATTTATTCCTTCATCGTAAGAACGTCGAGTAAATTATATTCCTTCACATAAATTTTAACGCTACATTAACTACCTTTTGCCTTAAAACTCTGTTAATCCATTGTCATCAAAATGAATTTATGCCTTCAACAGCTGTTTTGCTCACGGACTAATATTACATATTGTAGGTGCATCAGGACAAGAACGTCGTGAATCGGTGTACAGTTCGGGAGCTCGGCGCGGGCCTCTGTCGTCGGAGGACAGCGCGTACGGCAGCTACGCGGCGCACGGCACACTCACACACGGCACACACGCGCACGCCAACCACGCGAGCCACGCGGCGCACGCGCATGCGCACGGACACGCGACTCAGGCGCGCCCGTTCCGCGGCCCGCATCCACCTGAACATTACTAGCGACGCGCCTCGCAGCACAATATTGCGCTGCTGTTTGACGTTTAAGCGATTTCTGAATCGCGTGTGTTTGTGATGTGATAAATGTGAATATCTACTGAAAACACTACCAGTGAGTGATATTTTTAGTAGAAAAATGACTACTATCTCGAACATCTTCGAAACGTATGAACATTGTTGTAACCGAAATATTACGTAAGATGATCTCCACTAGTTAAAAATGACATCAATTTACTAAACTATATGTATGCCAAAGTGCTAGAATAATGAATATCTGTATTTAAACTGTAAAATAAATGTTAATAGCCTTAATTAAACATTAATATCTCCCAATTTCCTACGAATGTAACGGATCTTTTTGTACATTGTGATGTATTAATTAAAAATACTTTGAATAAATTGTTGCTTCCTACATATACTGTATTATTAACAACTTATTGATATTGTAATAATTAAAATTTATAAGGTATAGAATTGTTAAAATATCTTCCAGAAAACTAAACAAGTATACTTAGGGCCGCCGTACACGGATTGTTTCGATCACTGCAGTAGGCGTCCAGCCGACTGATTTTTTAACGACGATCGTAAATAGCGATCTATGTATGAAATTGTAACAGTGCGTGTATGTTGGTCTTTATAAGTTTTATTATAATTCTTATAATGCTGTTTGATTGTAAATGGTAGATTTTATAAATAGAATTTCTATAAAATTTTATATATTATTGTAAATATTTTAATGTTCGTAATGATGGCTTCAATTTATTTTATGATCAGTTTATATTATTCCAGTCCAGTTCTGGATTGTAAACACCAAAGGGGTTCCAATAATATAAACTGGTCGTAAGGTAAACTTAATTCACTTAAAAAAGAATACCTAGTTAGTTTCCACTCCGATAGACGTATACGAAAATATGTATACTATTAGTGTCAGTGAAAACTAACTATATACACCTTGACTAACTTATTGTGCCATATATTTTAAAATTTGTAAAATACTAGGTTATGATTAAAAGACTAAATTTGATATTTAAGTAATCTATAATATCATTTTCATACTTATTTCCTCATTTTAGTTAATTTTTATTTACAAGACAATTGTTTTTAATTCGATTCAATTTTATATTTCTAACGCATTACTCCACTAAATCTGAATAATTCAAATGGACAACGAATTAGGAAAATCTTTGAAATGTATTTTTTTTTTTTTTTTTTT